TTCAACTTGCCCTGCAGGAAAGCAATCTCCAGCAAAGGGCACAGCATGATGCCCAAATGCAAAGGGTGGTAAGCATTACCGATTGCTTTCTCTGCTTGGGTCTGGCTGCTGAAGAGCCACGGGGTTCGGGGTTCGTGCCCCTGGAGCATAGCCTTTTCCTCCTGTAGCATGTACCTATGCAAGCTGTGCTCTTGCCAAGGGCGCTTCTCCTTGACATCTTGTGTCCGAAGCAGCCACAGCTTCGGCCCTTTTGTTCGCAGAGGCGGGGTGCCGTCGTAGACTATACCGCCGCCGAAATCCTTCAAAGGATTGCGGTCCAGCTCGATCACGGCTATCTCGCCTGCTTTCCCATTTTCTATGTCTCCCTGCACACGAGTCAAATAGGCCGCCAAGTTGCACTGCATGTTTGGGGAGAGTGATCCTGGGTCCGCTGGGAGTGCTCTCGAGTCCAACACGGTCTCCAAAGGCACCTTGCCACCGAGGTCTTTCATGCTCAAAGGCGGCGGCAGGCCAGGCAAGCCTCGGAGGCAATCCCTCCTCAAGCCCCGGATCCACAAACGTTCCCGGTGCTGCGGGCAAAGCTGACACAGGTCATGCACTTCCACGGAGACAGCAAACATGGGGATGCACGCCCGCAGTCGCTGCAGCAGTTCCCGCAGATATGGAGTTCCACGCAGCCGGGGGCTGTTTTCCACAGCGAAGGCTAGCAGCTGACCCTGCCAAGCCTGAGCTATGATCCAGCCGATGCAGACATCCATGACCGAAGCTCTTGCATCAGCTGTGCCCTGCTGCTGTCCGGTTCCTGCCCATGGCTGGCACGGGGGGCCAGCCACAATGGCTTCCACGGGCAACAAGCTCTCCGGATTAACTTTCTCCACATCGCCGTCAGTGCCCAATCTCAAGGCTTGGACACCGCTAGCACCACAAAACCTCTGCAAGTTATTGTAGTAGGGAAGCAAGGAAGCTTCCGTGTCAAAGCCCTGTGTGGACAGGTACTGGCTTCCTGACAGCTCACACAACCGTCGTAGCCCTCCCAGTCCAACACAAGGCTCAGTCACCCTCAAAGGGCGGCCAAGAACCCGCAGCACTCGTCCGGCCCTGTAGCCGGCGATCTCTGTGTCCAGATGATCGTCGGCCATTGGCCGGCAGGCCGGTGCCCACCGGTCCTTCTTTCCAAAGGGGACGGTTCCCTTTCTAACTAGTTAGCTAACAAGCCACTGTGAGACAAATCTTGACGGGAATGCACCTTCTTGCCAAGCTGCAAACACAAAGGTTGAAACTGATCCGCAGAATGTGTGTTCAAGCATCAACCTTCTGCTAGCAGTCAGCATGTCAGACAAAAGGAAGCGGGGTGCTTCGCCACAGAGTAGCCGTGCGGTTCAAAGGGTCGAAAGAGAGGAGGAGACCCGCACGGTTGCCTCCGTCAAAGGAACAGCAAGTGGTGAGGCCGGCCGGCACGAAAGATCCCGCACACCGCCACCTAGCCATCAGGCCAGGTGGCGGTGGTGCTGGAAACTCAGCATTCAAGATGGCGGGGAGCAAATCTGGTGGTGGAAATGGTGGAAGCAATGAAAGGTGAGCTGACGTGTGTTTCTTTTTTCTCTTGCATGCCTGATGGTGTGCAACAGACCGCTAAGAGCAGCTGCATGACTCTCTCACTGCATGACTATGCATGATTCGTGCCTGAAGACTCGGAGTTCAAAAGTTGTGTTGTTCCGTGCATACAGAAGCTTCGCAGCTTCGCATTTGCAAGCATAGAGCAAACAGCATGCTATGTGTGACAACTGTGTGTGTTGTGTGTGAAGACTTTAGATACTGGTTCAACCCTCGCGAGCCAAACAAGCAGCAAAAGAACCTGGAAACAGTCTTGAAAAGGCAGGACAGTGGCGGGACAGTGGCGGGACAGTCGCGGGACAGTGGCAGGACACCGGCGGAACAGTGGCGGGGTGGCGGGCAGTGGCGGGACACCGGCGGAACAGTGGCGGGGTGGCGGGCAGTGGCGGGACACCGGCGGGACAGTGGCGGGACAGTGGCGGGACAGTGGCGGGACAGTGGCGGGACAGTGGCGGGACAGTGGCGGGACAGCGGCGGGACAGCGGCGGGACAGCGGCGGGACAGCGGCAGGACAGCGGCGGGAGGGACAATGGCGGGACAGCGGCGGGACAGCGGCGGGACAGCGGCGGGACAGCGGCGGGACAGCGGCGGGACAGTGGCGGGACACCGGCGGGACAGTGGCGGGGCGGGACAGTGGCGGGACAGTGGCGGGACAGTGGCGGGACAGTGGCGGGACAGTGGCGGGACAGGGGCGGGACAGGGGCGGGACGGTGGCGGGACGGTGGCGGGACGGTGGCGGGACGGCCGGGGAGGCCCCTGGACTGCCACAGGAAACCGGGGGTGCGGCCGGTCCGACCCGGCGGGTCGGGAGGGACACCGGAGGGACACGGGAGGGACATGGGAGGGACACAACCCCTCCCCTACTTAAGCCTGGAATCCAGTGGGTTGTCGAACCTCCACCCCAAACCCTCGCGATACCACAAAAAATCCTTGAAGCCCTGCTTTCGACTGTGATACACAACGGTTTGCACTGCTATGCCCTGTTTTTTGCATCGTGCGGTCCGGCACGGTGAAGTTTGCAACTGTAGTGTCGGCTTGGCACATCTACACACTGCTTCTGAGACCTATCGTGCTATAAAACCTATTGTGACATATTGTAACCCCTTAGATACTATAGTTCTCCCTGTGCCTGCCCATTCTGTGTGAAACGAAGGGCCTAACAGCATCGGTGCCCTGCAGCTCGGAAAAACACCCTACTTATTTCCTAACATATTAGGTATGGATATCTGTGTGCACACAACACATACATACAACATCTAAAACCTGGCTGCAGGCACACCCTGTGCTTGCCGCTTGCCCTTCAGGGGCCCTTCAGAGGATCCTCTCGCCCAAAGACAGAAGTCGGTTGAACGCCACCACCCTCTGATCTGAGGATTCGCCCCCCTCGCTCTGGTGGCTCTGGCCCTGCCGACTCTGTCTCTGGCGACTCTCCTGGCGGCGCCGGGAGTGCTTGGATCTGCTGCGGCCCCGGCCTCGGCTGCGGGAGTCCAACCGCTGCCTCTGCACGGAGACAGACGGGACATCGATGACATCCCGGCCACGGCGGGGCACTATCACCACAGCGCCCCGGCTCCGTCGCTCGCGCGAGCTTCCCCTCGATCTCGGCGGCGAGGCTACCGAGGCATTGCTTGGCCTGGAGGCCTCGCTTCGGACGCTTCGCCTCGATAGCCCGCCTCGCCTCGACACCTCGGACCAGGAGCATGGCCGTGCCCTTTCCTTTTCATCATTCTTGTCCCGGTGATCCTTCTTCTTCTCTTTCTTCTTGTTTTTCCGCTCCTTTGGCTCCTGCGGAGGCTCACTGGGCTCTGCCGGCTTTTTGGCGCCGCAGCCGTACTCGTGCTGCTCGCGGTCTGGCGCCTTAAAGAACGCCTTGCCGCAGAAGCGGCAAGGGAACTTTGCTGGCGGGGGTTCCAATCCCCGCAGCTTTTGCTGCCATGACATGCAGCCGCTGTTCGATGTTATGTGCATGAACAGCGTGCTTCTTGGCTTGATTGCCCAACATATTGGGCACCGCACCTTCTCCTCCACCCATTGTCCTTGCTTCGTATATCCTGCCGGCTTCACCGTCTCCAACTCGGCGATCTTGAAAGCATGGACCGCCCCATAGGGCCCCCATGTCTTCTTCTCCTCTTCGTCATCATCCCCGGCCCCGGTGCCGGTGAGGCCGGTGCCCTCATCATGGCCGCCCTGCTTCAGCAGGGCATCAAAAGGGGAAGTCTTCCTCTTCTCCTTTTTATCTTTCTCTTTTTTATCTTTCTTCTCTTTCTTTGCCCGTCGGCTGCGGCTCCGGCCCCGGGAGTGCGACTTGCTCTTGGATTTCCCATAGTCTGCCGAGCCATCGCTCTTCTCCTCGCTGCCGCTCCCGGACTTTTCCTCGGACTTTTCCTCGGATTTCTCCTCGGACTTGTCCTCGGACTTTTCCTCGGATTTCTCCTCGGACTTGTCCGAGGAATTGGACTTGCCCGCAGGCTTGTCCTTTTCTGAATCCGAGCTCTCTTCTCGCGGCTTGGGGCCCTGCTTCGGCTCCGGCATCGGCTTCAATCGGCCTGGCGGCAAGGCACTCAAAAACAAAACTGTCAATCCTAACATACCCCAACACCCCATCCCTCACCCTCATCCCTCAGCCCTTTCCTGGACTCACCGCCTGCATGCCTTAAGTACCGTCGGGGCCTGCAAGTCGAGAAAGACTCCGGCCCTCCGACAGCACCAAGGCACCGACTGCATGAGTATTTCTTGCTCGCCGCCACGTTGGGCTGCACGAGCCTCTCTTCTTGCTCGCCGCCACGTCGGGCTGCACGAGCCTTTCTTCTTGCTCGCCGCCCCGTCGGGGCTGCACGAGCCTTTCTTCTTGCTCGCCGCCCCGTCGGGGCTGCACGAGCCTTTCTTCTTGCTCGCCGCCCCGTCGGGGCTGCACGAGCCTTTCTTCTTGCTCGCCGCCACGTTGGCTGCACGAGCCCTGCTTGAACTTGCTTGCTCGCCGCCACGTCTGGCTGCACGAGCTGCTTTCTCTACCCTGGAAAAAACATCCAAAACTCCCGCCCTAACCCTCTTTACAGTAAAGGTCCCACAGCGGCCCCGCCTCCACGCAGGAACAGCTGCAGCATGGAGGCTCCAAAAAAGCTGCGGAAACGGCAACAGCGGCAACAGAACCATCAAGCACTGCTCTGCCAAACAACTCTCACTGACATGCTGATGTGCTGTGCAGGCAAGACATGAAAACTGAAATCGATCGTTCATCTGCTGTGCTCAGAAATCAGAATCGAACATCACATTACGGGCATGCAACTGTCCATCAACTTTTTGTGCAACATATAACGACAAGCTGCTGCAACATGCTGCAACGATCTGCACAAAGTAGAAAAATTTCCTTCATCATGCGAATTGGTTCACGCACCCAGCCGCTGCCTCTCTTTCATTCGGGACACAGAAGCGGGGTCTGGGTTGAATGCAACATGCTGGCGGGTGTCCTCGAATCTGTGTCCCTCTTGGCACCAAACCAGAAGCCAGGCCACACAAGTGGCCTGGTCACAATGGCTCTTGAGGAAGCTGTATCGCCGGCACTTCGCATGCCGTGTGCATTGTATGAATCCTCGTCTATGACCGGATGAATGACTCCAGTTATCAAAGTGGACTGTCAAGTCCGCCATTCCCGGAACACGGCACGGAACGGCAGGCAGACTGGGCAGGTCCAAAGAAAGCCGCAAGATGCCCTGCTCGGGTCTCGCAGCACTCTGTCCGTGTGCTGGCCTTTTCCGCTTTCTCTCGAAAGCAAACTCCTTGCATTGCTTTAAACTGAAGTCATTCACAGCAGAGAGAGTAGTTTCTTTCAGAAGCATCTCATAATAGGCAACACTGCCTGAGTGGGAGATCTTGAGCAAGCCCTTTTCCCACAGGCTGACATGAAAACACAAGGCTTTCAAGTGCATTTCTGGCCTGTCCAAGAGACCTGAGGGCAAGTTCAGGGCCTGCCCTCGGTTGTGCCAATCACCGGTCGCAGCAGCTTTCCATCCATCCTGCAACAGCATCTTCAACCACGCAAGTTTATTCCTGCCGGGGCCATTGTTCATGACCGTCTCTTCTTGGCAAAGCGGTGTTGGGTCTCGGAGAGCCAAGCGACTGGTGACCTTGGTGGCCTCGCTCAATGCTACAGTGACTGCTCCAAAATCGTCCACGCGAGCCTGGACAAGTCCCTTGTCTACAAGGCTCCTGCATGCATCCGCATTGTAATGCGGAAGCTGAATGACATCAACAAAGTTTTCACCCAGTGCACGCCTTTCAAGAAGACCCTGCAACAAGGATTGCTGGTTGTCTGGGAGAATGCCAGCTTCGGCTTGCGGCCCTGCTGCTGCATGCTGAAGCGACACAACTCCATCCTCACGTGCCAGATCATCCAGCATGTCATCGTCTGTGACGAAGGCAGGCAATCTGAGCGCCGCAGAAGGGCCGTCGTGCACAAGGGCATCTGAAGACCCTGCCTGGGGCATGATCTGCACTTTAACCGAAGTTGCCTTTGCCGTCCAAACACGCAGTTCCGAGGACAACAACTTCAGCATGGCCGGAGTTGCTACCTTTGCGAAATCCAACGTGTGTTGCATTGTGTTGCTGTACAACACATGAGGCACGGCCGGCTGTTGCAGATCAACAGCAGTGAAGCGGAGCACATGCACAAAACCCTTGTGGCTTTCTTGAGCCAGGGCCTTGTTCTGTGTTCTTCTCTCAGGCCTCGCATCCACCACATAGCCGTAGATCAAGTCCTCGGCAGATACGTCTGGATTGTCCTCGGGCAGCAAAGCCTCAGCAAAACTTTCCAAATCCAAACATATCTCTGGATGCACAGCCTCAGAGTCCTCTGAGGGGGGCCCTGCCAACATGGCCCGGAAAAGGCCTTCAGGCAAGCTGAACAAGATGCCACTCTGCAATTGGGACTTCAGGTAGTCTACTATCATCCACTGTTTTTTCTCCAAAGTCTTGACTCCTGATGCATCGTCCTCAGCCGCATCCTGGAGTGCCAGCTGTGTTCTATCCTGCAAGGCTTTCGCAGCTGCTTCTTCATCAGCCTGGTGGTCGAGAAATTGGTCTTCTTCGTGATAGCCGTAGATGCGAGCAACTCGGTAGCTGCGGGTCTTGGTCATGCATTCGGCCTTGGGCATGATGTGCGAAAGCAGTTCCAGGTCCAGCCCTTTGGAACCCCAGTTGGCTTCCAAGAAACTACACTCCTTAGGAGTGTCGATCATACTCTGCAGCTGGCTCCTGCGGGCCCGTGCACATGTCATTGCTGGCCCAGCATGTCGAAGTGTCCTCCGGCAAGCTATTTTGATCAGCACGTGCTGTCGCTCTGTGCTTCGTTCCGCCATGGGGCAGAACGAGCGATCTTGGATTTCAGCAAATGCCAGGGGAAAGTCCTCCAGCACCTTGTCCGCGGGGCTTTCGCAAAAGCTCCATAACTGCTCAGCCAATCCTGCATCTCCTTTTCTGTGAAACAAACTCTCAAGCAGTTCCGTGGTTCGACCCTGCCCCCGGAGAGACTCGTACTGAGTGAAACACTCTCGAACAGCATCTTTGGATTGTTGCAAAGAATACAGGTCTGGTCTTGCATGATGGGCAAACCCGGCCGCAAGCAGATGAGGAACATGACCTAGATAGTCCAGTTTTCCCTTGACAATGGAAGCCCATTTGTCACGGGCTTTCTGGTCCATCAAGGCCATTGCAGCACCCACCTCGTCTGGAAGCTCCAGGAGCACCTCTGTGAGCGAGGCGCTAGCCAAACGATAGACCGAGTTGGTGATCTCATCCCTGTAGCCTGCACAGAGCACACAAGATCGTTTGCCTTTCCACGGGCACTTGATCGTGGTCCGAGTCCGAGAGGACTTGTTCTCCAGCAGTTCCTTCTCGTGGCAAAAACAACCCTCAAACCAATGTGCCCAACCTTGGACAAAGCAAGCAAACATGAAGGCCCAATGCACATATGCAAGATGGAAAGGATCTTTCAGAGCAGCATCGACCATGTCGCACAAAGCAGCATCGGACGACAAAAGAGAACGATCCCAATGCTCCAACAGAATCGGCCTGACCTCCAAGTAGTTCTTCAACGTTACATGGAGACTCTCCCACCGCCAGGACAGCAGTTCACCATGGTATCGTTGAACAATCCGCCTGTGCTCTCCGCTGGCATGCTTCAGCATGACTGAAACCACGATCTCCTTATAGCTTCTGTTCGTCAAAAGCTTCGAGACGGCAGACACCTGCTTTTCGACTGCATCCCACCTTGGGCACCCTTTGCAGCACTCTTCAAGTGAATTGAAGAGCACGTGGAGGATCCCTGGATGCTTCAGGCTGTTGAAAAGGAAGGCTTCACTTGTGCCAGCAGCCAGGTTTTCTAGGGTGGCCTCCTCCTTCAAGGATGCTGCTAAGGATTTCATGGCAGCCTCGTCGCCTATGGGCCATTCCGGTATCAATCGCTCCGTTCCTTGATCTGAAACCCAGCCCTTCACTTGTTTCCTGTAAAGCTGGAAATGAGGCTCTCCAGCCTCCAGGATTATTGCAGACTTCAACCTTTGGGCCTTGACAAATGTCCTGGCCTCTCCTCTGGCCAAAGTCATGACAGGCATTAACCTAAATTCGTGTGAGAAACCTTTAAATGGGTCTGCCGGTGGCATGAACGGCAACTTTCTCACAAGAACTTCCTCTGTCATTGCCAAGTATTCGTACCCCCCTTGGGGGCTGGCATCCATGCTCAAGAATCTGCTGACAGACGTGTGAGAACAGAGGGCTTGCTCTGCCATCAGACATCTTCTGTGGTGCATGTGAAGCCAATCCAGGCGAAGCATTTGGGTGTGGAGTTTGTACTTACCAGGCACAGACTCAAGCATCTGCTGAAGAGCTTCAGGGTCGAAGGGCCCTAGCTTCGGCTCCAGGAAACGGGCCACGCAGCTCACAACGACAGGAATGTCCTTGGCATTCTGCATGGCGAAGTTTAACCTGACGATTTGTATCTCCTGCATGGAGCTCAAACGCACAATGCTTTTGTTCCATCTGGCCTTAGCTCCAGCGACTCCACGTGCTGCTTTAGCAGCACGTTCTTCCGGAACTTCTTCAGCACCGTCTGCTGACCCCTCTGCCTCTGCCGCCTCTGCCTCTGCCGGTTCCAGTTCCTGAGCCGCCTGAGGCTGAGCTGAGGGGGTACGGGATACCTGAACGTGCAAGCCTGCCATCATGCTCCCCGGCATCCACAGATTCAGTGGTGTGGCCACTGCCTGTGTCTGAGACAGAACGGCCAGGCCCCGTGGGACCTGCACCAACCACCCTTTCTCCCGCTTCAACTCTGGGAGCAAATCTCCCCCAGAAGGACAAGCCATCAAGTGTTGCCCTGGCTCTTCACTCAAAAGCTTGTACACCTCATAGGTCGGACGAGACACACGCTGCAACTGCCTGCCTTGAAACTGCTCCCGTTTCAATCGCACCGGCGACCGGAGCAGAAAGCAACGATCCAGCACGAAACAAAAAAACTCTTTCTGAGCTTGCCTATCACGGTCACGCTTCCTCTGTCTTTGGCCGTAGCCGCTCCAAAGCTGGATTTCATGAAGCTCTGCTGGGGTCGCATTGCTCCAATTCTCAAACACATCTGTGGCACGGCACAGATGTGTGATCTCAGCATGCTCACTTTCCTTCACAAGCACTGTATACAGCACCAGCCATTGGGGCAGCGGGCAGCTTGTTTCTGGCAGCCCTCGAACCGTGGCGGCCAAGGCCACCGTCGCCGGTGTCAAAACTTTCCGGCAAACTGAAAACGTTACTTTCCATGAGCTGTGAGCTGCTCGATCCCTACGCAACGTTACTTTCCATGAGCTGCTCTATCCCTAAGCTGACTTTTGTACAACGCATGTGCATCATGTGGTCGTCGCAGTATGGTTCTGATTGTTCTGAGAGGGTTACAGTCAGCTTCCCAGAATTCCCCAAGATTACCAATTTAAGCACGTGGACACTTAGTACTGTCTTGCTTCACTTTTGAATTTGGGACGTCACACAAGCTGTGTGAGCCAAAAATGCAGAGTATGCACGGTGGGGGAAGGCCAGGGGAGGGGCCCCGTCGGTAGATTTGACTTGAGAAAAATCTAAGGGACTCAAAACCTCGATTTCACACGTTTCAGAAATCAATGTTCCAAATCGATCAAATCTGATGGTTGAGGCTGAACCTAGGCCGAACCCCGTCGGCTGGGCCCTGACCCGGGCTCCAGAGCAAACACCATAACCCTCGCCCCTTTGCACAGGCACCACCTGAAGGATGCGGGCACCGACAGGCACCGACTGAAAAGCGGCCGTCAAGGAGTTTTTCGCATCATAACGTAGAGCGTCCATGGACGGAATCTGCAAAGTAACCCGATGCTTGTATTCGGGCATGAGCGGCGGCACCTTGGAAACCTTGGGCTGTCGCTGCACTGCAATGGAGGACCGATGATTGGCAGATGGCTTGACTGCATCAGGGGACACAGCAAACCCTAGTGAACCCGCGAAAACAACTACCTGGGCGGCGAGCCGACTGCACAACAAACGCGGCCGGGCCCGCAGTGAAGTCACTGACTGGAAGGCTCTAGAAGGTTCCTGATTGTCGTCGGCCGACACAGCGAGAGCGCTTAAAGGCTGGACGTTAGTATGCAACAGCATCTGGCGGTGCTGCTCGCCACCATGGGCACATAGGTCGAACTTCACAGCTTGCGAGGCAGGCAGAGCCAAAGTCGACCACAGTCGGCTGTTCAGCGGATTCAAGACGCACCACCCGATATCAAGAGTGGCGAGGAAAGCCAAGAAAGAGCTGAGTTCGGACGACACCTGGGCAAAACCTGCTGGAAGTTCGCCCGCAGAAGCGGCCACAGTGGGGGGCAGCAAGCACAAAGACGACCCTCCTAGCGAGTACAACCTTAACTAGAAAATCCCATGAGGCAGTCTTCCTGAGATCCAACGACACAACGCTGATCAGAGCTCTCTGCTTTAGGTGCGGTTGTTCGACCGCGAGCACATCGAATCCGGCGGCCCTCAAGGAGGCTCCAAACTCACCTGCATTGCAAAAGAGGTCAAGGCACAGCAAAGAAGCGACTTGCAGTTGCGCCGGGAGGGCATCACATGCCTCATCCACTTGAGAACTTCGGAGGTCATGAAAGGTTCCCCCGACTTCGATCAAATCCGGACTAAAGTTGGGCGCCGTTTTGGGAACAGGGAAGCTCAGCTCAGCTAACCGCGCCCTACAGTCAACATCAAGCTCCTGGACCCTAGCAACGCAAAACCCAACTATGACCACGCGTCGACCGCTCCACGGCCGTGTAGCGTGCACATGGCTGCAAGCATAGAAGGCCTTCGGTCCGGAGGCCAGATCGATCAAGATGCCACGCTTCGTAACACCATCGACCTCAAGAGGAAAATCGCCCTGAGCCGACTCGACCCAGACCTCGCCTTTCCGAAAATTGCTGAGTGGCACAAGAATGTTCGGGAAAGGAGAGTTGAAGCGGTCGACATGAGGCTCCGTCTTAAGGTCTGAAAACACACTCAGAGTAGAAAATTGCATCCCTGGGGCAGCGCGTTGCACTGCCTGAGCGAAAACCCTCGAAGCCGCCGGATGCTTGTTGCAGTTGCTCCTGAGACCGAGCAGCGGCCCCTTCACATAGGCACCAGTCGAGAAGGCCACGGCTCCATCGTTACGAGTATTGCTCAAAAGCGGCTCCTGAGGCAGCATGTCAAACAAACGAATTAACTCCTGGGCCGTGGGATCCCTGCCCAAAGACAGAAGCTCCTCAGCATAAGAGTCCGCATGCACTTTCGGATCAAGCTTCGATCCTTGCCCTTCAAACGGCACTGCTTGGGCCCCTTCGGGCGCACTCAAAAGAGGCTCATCCCCTTCGGGATGGGCCGTAATCACTTGCTGGATTGCTCGAGAATGGCCTTCGCCACCCCCAGACCCTGCCGCCGACCCTTTTGCACCCGGGGCCGGGGTTGAACTTGATAGTCAAGCGCCCGCCTGCTCGCCATCTTTCGGCTTCTTGGGACACTTGACAGCGGCGTGATTCATGCCGCACTTGGGGACTGCACAGATGTGCAATCCCTTCTCACATTTATTGCCGGTCACCTTGTTCGGGCATGACCCCAGGTTAAAGGCATAGCAGATCGGGTGCCCTTTCGCGGTGTGCGAATTGCACCCACGAAGCTCGCTTGGCATGGCAACGAAGCGCTTCTTCCCTTTGCCATCTTTGCCCTTGCCCTTACCTTTGTACGGCGACTCTCGCAGACGAGCAGGCTCACTGGGACCGTACGAAGACGAGGGGCCGCCCTGGAGCGGCTGCATCAGCGAAACCACCTCATGCATGCAGCTGACAGAATCTATGATCCCATCGATCGGACGGCCTTTGGCATCCGACTGAATGCCTGTGCGCGTATGGTCCTGAAGCTCCAAAAAGAGCCTCGAGTCTGCATTTTGCAACTGAGCGAAGGTTACCTGCTGGTAACCCGGCGGGGGCGTAGTCAGCCTCGCCTTCATCAACTTTTGATGCCACATGTCAAGCTTCGTGAAAGAAACAATGTTAGCCTGATCGAATGCGAGAGCACGCCTCTGCAGAGCCTGCAGAAGCATCACTTCAGTGGACGTGTCAGCCACCTGATCCTTGGCCTTGTTCTCTACCTTGAGCTTACCACTCTCGCCGTCTATCGAAAGCTTCAGGTCCTTCTTACCGTCGCCCAGGAGCTCCTGTTCCCGCGACGTGCACTTAGACCAAGGGACATACTGGATCACATTGGCCTCATACTGACCGACGCAAAGGTCGACCAGGGCCTCTGATGGCTCCGAGGAACCCTTTATCGTGATGCCAGTCAACTGTGAACGCTGTCGCTCAATTCTCTCAGCCCTCTCGGGCTGACTCAAATGACGAACTGTCGGCTCCTCGACCCTTTCAACCTGCTGTCGCATCTCCGAAGTGACAATGGCATATGCCTCATGGAAAACTGCTCTGAAAGCTGCCTTCTGATTCATCTCTGGGTCCTTTCCAAGCATCGTCTTAAGGGCCTCGATCAACGGACCTTCGTCCGCAGCCCCCGGAGCAAAGGAGCTCACGAAGGCCAACTGCTTCAAGCTCTTAACGTGCTTCAGGATGAGATCGCGCTCAGCCTGCTCGAAACCCGCCTTCGAGAGACGGGACACCAGAACTGGCTCGGACTCCGAGTATGCGGAAGCCATGGCTCGCTCCTTCAGAACTGGCCTACCTTCAAGTAGCTCGAGCGACTCTCACTGGAAATCACAAGGCGGCATTTGCGACTCCGAACTGTTGAGACCACGCAAGCCAAGTGCAGCGCTCCTTGTATTCCGTGCGCATATTCATCCCGCCTTCGCGGGCTCTCGCGATGAGAGGCTCACAAAATTCGCATGGCGGCACTCCAGCCAGCCAGCCTATCGATCCCTCACCTCGCCTCAGGAAAGCACTGCCTGCAGATTGGATGCAAAAACCTGGGCGTCGCGTTGCACTCCAAGTAAGACGATGTAATCTGTCTGCCACACTTAAAATTTGTGCCCTCCTCAGAAGCGACCAAGTGTATGAAGCGGGTGGTAACATGCCGAAAGACCGTCTTGCCCTCCAGATTTTCTCGAAGGCAGCCGCTCGGCTCAAATTCGCCGACACTGTCCTCAACGACCTTCTCCTCCTCGAGAATATCTGGCTCCTCCTCATCATCGCTCCTGTCGGAAGAAGAATCTGAGCCGACCTCGGCCTTGTCATGAGCTTCTCCCCTGGCAGCCAAAGACTCCGCAAACATGCCCGAGCGCGTGGCGTCAGGGAAGAACCGCCTGTAAGCGACCGCAGAGACCATTTCCTCCAACTCACGCAACGCAGGGGAGACGCTGTCCCTCGCGTAGATAACATCCGTGCCGGCGTTGGCACTGGAGTGATATCCGAGTATCGACCGGATTTCCTTACTAGCTCCCCACTTAGACATCCAAGATAAGAGCGTAGCTTTGCAGGAGTGAGTACCAGCGGCCTTGACCAACGAAACATCCTCGCCTGCACGATAGAGAAGGTGGCGAAGCCACCGCGCTCCGGCTTGCGCAGACATAGGCGCCTTCTGCCATTGGCCCCCCTCGGTGGGGGACGGTAGCAGGGGCATGTCAGGCCCCCATGCAGGCCCAGCCCTGCCGGCTACCTCCATCCAGGCCATCGCCCAAGAATCCTGCTCGAGGCCCCATATAGGGCTGACCATAGCAAGATATCGGGTTTTGCGCTCCAGATTATGACCCGTCTTGCTCCTGGTGACTCTCGCTTCAAGGTAACCGCGCGGTCCGTCTTCTCCTTCCACGACGTCCTTCGCCAGCTCGCCAGAACACTGCATGTCCGAAAAACGGGCTCTCGCAAACACACAATATAAAAAGCACCCGGCCGCGTATCGATCGACATCTGCGCGGACTTCAGGCATAAGTCCAAGCACGATTCGCTCCAGAGCCCGCACCTGTGAAGCCGTCAATGGCGGCTTCTGTTGCAGCTTTCTCTTCTCCAAGTAGAGCTTCGAAACCGCGCCAGCCAACCTGCTACTAACACAACCGTCCGGGACCTTCGCCTCCAAGACATATTGCATGAAGCCAACGGAACTCATAAAGCTGGATGCAAAGGTAGGAGCAGCCCCACTGCAATACTCTTTGACGAAGCGATACATCTTCTGCTCAGACAAAGGAAAAGGCTGTTCTCTGATGCGCCAGCAGAATGCCATGTATCTTAGGACCGGGCCCGCCCTGCTGTGAAGCGTACTGCTCGCCTTAAGCGAGAAAACATCTCCTAGAGACTCCTGCAGGGAGGCCGGCAATCCAGCTTCAGCATCCTCCGCCACTCTGGCACAGACCCCGAAGAAGTCGCCGCCCTCTTTCGCAATCCGAAGCCACTTCATGACAGCCGCATGCCTGTTATCCGACTGTCGCTGAACCCAAGAAGGCCCAACCTTCCGCGGCAGCTTGCCGCCAGTGGCAGTCAGATTTATAGCCGGCGGGCCACTCGGAGCTTTCACAGGAGCAGCAGCTGTATGAGTAAGCACATTCCCAAGACGCCCCTTTCCCAGAAATGCACTCGGCAAAACACTCGGCACATTAACAATGCTTCTCTCCCACGGTTGCTTTGAGCTGCTCGTAGAATTCTGGTGCACGACATGGGCAAGATGCCCCTCGAATGCAGCATCAAACGTCCTCTTCTCTGCCATCGCACGAGAAGCTGCCCATGCGCCCTAAGGCGGTACACCAGGGGTTCTCGGGCCCGAAACCTGTTTCACACAGCTTGGCCCGGAGCCCGTGTTCTACACAAATCTCTCTTACCCCCCGTACAAACTTTGCTGCACGGAAGGTTCCCGCCCACCCACCCTATGTTTGAGCATGCGCGGAACAACAAAGATTCATAAAAGTTCAAATGGAATCTCATGACACATGAAGCGGTTTCGAAAAACTTCTTCAAAACTTTCGAAACCTACCAAAAAGGTTATAAAGCCTTATGGGACTAGTTTGTGATTTTTAGCGTCCCAAAAACGGCGTCAAAGCAGCTTCATGAGATCTGACTACATGGCCTGGCACAGATCCAGCTTTGCAAACAAATCCACATGCACGGCTGACGAAGCAACTCTCATGTCGATATGTGCATGCATGCATTCGCTCCGGCCAAAGGCATGCAATCTGCATGTTTTTGTCTCGGCTCGCGATCATGCTCATGCAGACCCATCTGCAGGCATGCTTGATGTTGCTGGACGAAGATGCACAAATGGCGGAACTGAGGGAACATTTTCTTGTCCCTCGTAGCAAAACGGGTTTAGAAACAGCTTGGGCAGCAGCCCGGTTTGGACCTGCATTTGGAGCAACCGTGTGGCCTCAACAAGACTCGCTTCGCGAGGGGGAGCGAGGCCCAATACTTTTTGCCGGCAGCATGGGCTGAAGGCTTCTTCAAGATGCTCTTGGGCTGGGCCTTTGCCTTGGGCTGGGCCTTTGCCTTGGGCTGGGCCTTTGCTTTCGGCTTGGACTCACTTTTAGCCTTGGCCTTAGCTTTTGCTTTAGCCTTAGCTTTCCCCTTCGGCTTGGCAACTCCCTCGAACTCGTCAGCCGTTCGCTTGCCCTGGCCTCCAGTCTTGCGGTTGTCCAATGCATCGGACACTTTGGTAGCTTCCTCTAGGGCCTGAGTTGTGTCGAGCTGGAAGGCGAAGGGGTCTGCAGGCTTTGTCTCGATGCCGCTTTCTCCGTTCTGGCCGGAACATGGCAAAGATGGCTGCTGTGCCTGTGGCGAAGAAGATGGCTGCTGTCCCTGCGTCGAAGAAGATGGCTGCTGTGCCTGTGTCGCAGAACATAGCTGCTGTGCACATGCCGGTGTTGAAGAAGATGGCGGCTGTTGCGATCCCGAAGAGGACCCCGTGCCGGGAGCGAAGATCTGGAGGTTCTGCAACCCTCCCTGCTGCACCAAATCTTGCTGCTGCTTCATCCATTGCATGAGGCCCTGCATGGACGAAGCATTTGGCATGCCATGCATGCCCATCATTCCCTGCATGTAGGGGTTAACCATCATGTTCATGCCAGCCATGTGCATGCCAGGCATCGACATAGAATTTGCAGGCACCATGGCAGTGCTCGCCTTCGGTGTGGCAAAGATGCCTCTCACCTTCTTGTTCGTCGGTCTCAGCGAAATGTCCATGGCTTTGAGTGCCACCTGCCCAGCCGGCAGCAGAGTGCTAACCGGCCCATCCTCGGCATCGTAGGCCGCCTTGAACAAAACATCCGGTAGCTCACGAGGCCCACCAACCGGATAGGTTTCAATGTGAATCCCTTCTTTTGGGACTTTCTTCGCTTTGAGACGAAGCACTCTTTTGAACTCCGCCACCTGGAGAAAGAGCTCGGCTTCAGTGCATGTGCCACCGGATCTTGCAGCGATGGCGGCCAGGATACTTTTCACGCATTGCTCTGAGGGCAATGTAAGCCTCAATCGGCAGCACCTGCTTGCTGCAGTGTCGATCTTGATGTGGATGCTGGAATCAGAAGTCAGCACTTCCACGTCCTTCTCGCTCAGGTAGGACTCGAAGCTGCTGCACATTTGATTCTCCCTGCGATTCTTGCTGCCTTTGCTCCCACTTGTTGCACTGACACCCTTGGCCAGCACTTCAGAAAAGGCTTTGGTTTGGTCAACAGACCATGGGCCGGTGCTCCACGAATCGGCCAGTGCTGCCCCTGCCTCAGGGTCGAGGCAAAGCCCTGCAGCTCGCTTCGTGAGGGCATCAGCTTGGATCTGGCGAATCGACTCATAGTTGGGCATGGAAGACATGCTCCCCAGGAACTTGATGGTCGCCGAGAGGTCGCCCTTGAATTGGTCCACGGCGGTTGAAGCTGCCATGTTCGAGACACACACACGAGCTGCCAGCGAGCTAGAAGCCCTGCTGGCGATAATGTGAAAACAGAGCCAAGCCTCATGCATTCAGAGTACAACAACAGGATGCTGCAAATCGATGCCCCTTCCTCCATGCACAAGATTGCAGGGCAACATCCATGCTTCACAATCATGCAATGGTGGCATTGTGCTCACCTGGCAGTGCATGTTCCTCACATACAAACAATGCCCCATGCATGCCGGTGTGCATGCTGTGCATGGGTGGAGGGTTGGGGTGGGATGGGGTGGGTGCATGGTGTTTCGACATATAGATGTGTCGTGTATATATATATATATATATATATGTTTCGTATATGTGTATAGAAGCATATATAGACACAACCAGAAATATGTGTACTAATACATGTATATATATGTATAAATATATATAAGAGAGACAGAGAGAGAGAGAGTTCTCTGATGCATATGCACTTATATATATGTATATACTATGGCATATATAATGTGTGTAGATATATATATATATATACAGCATTATATTTTAGATGTAAGAAATGAGAGGCCAGGCAAAGTAATCATTACAGATGATACCTGAGACAGACTTGTGATATATATATATATATATATTATATACACATAATAAATGTACATGAACAAGTAAAACCTATAGCTGGGAGATACGAATATGTGCAATGTATAAAACAACATACAACACCAAATAATATGTGTATATATTCACATGTATATATATATATACATGTATATATGTAAAAGAATACATATACATTTATCACGACGAGCAGGACAGGAAGCAAAGCACAGTAAAGGTGGGCTTTGCCGGGCCGAGGAG